TAAATCTCATTTGGTGCTAAACATTTAGATGACTCACACTCAGTATGTGAATAACTTGTTTCTCTCTAGGATACATTTTTATTACTAAATGTATTCATTCAGTTGTATAGTAGCCCTCTACAATAAAAAATACAATGCATCAGCTTTAAGATTTACTCAATTTCAGTATACTGTGGCATAGTAGTGTACAACTATGTCTCTAATGGCTGTTAATGCAAATGCACTTTAATGCAGCTGAATTGGAAACTTGTAGCACACTGCACCTTTTCTAAGGCGTTTTTTCACTCCCTTTTTTAGAAAACCTATAAAGAGTTGTTGAATTATAAGATGGCATAGGAGTCGAAAGGCTAATAAATGTCCCTGGATGACAGTAAGTTTTACAAAATGGAGAGAAGATAAAAAGGGGAAGACAAAAGAGTGGGCTGGCAGGTTATGTAGAGAGGAAATGCGTCCTCCCTGAACGTGTCTCTCGCTCTCTGTTATTTCTCACTTTCTCCTTTGTCATTCGGTCCTTCTCTTTCCTGTGATTGCTCTACATTTTATTGGCTTTCTATTCTCATTGTTTTTCTCTCTTTTTTTAAGGTGAGACATGATAAAGGGCATGAATGGAAATGGAGTGAAAAGGGAGTGAGTGACAGGGTGAAGAGAGGAAAAATGAAGGAATAGGAAGGAAGGGTGGAAGAAAGTTAAAGGGTCATGGAACAGGGACTAAAAATGTACTGCTGTTTATTATTTGCTGGAGGTTGTGACATCTGTTATGAAAGCAAAATGGGGAAAGAAGATGGAAGTCGCAGCAGTGCAGGAAGATACGGGCTGAGCGAGGGTATGATGGAATAACAAGAACAAACTATAAAGAGACAATGGTGCTGGGAGAAGTGAAAGAAGTAAGAGCAGAATGTGTCATCCCAGCAAAACTCCTCACAGCCAGTGAGTAAATTAGTCCTGTTTTGACCTGTGATTGCAGCCTCTGGATGATAAATGTAATATTTAGCATGGCTATATGCGATAGCAAGAAGCACCAATTGCACAATTTGGAGAAGAAAAAGTGGCAACTGAGATACAGTATATCATATTGGACACAAAAAAAGAAAATATACCAGTTTACTATTGTGTGTATCTTTATCTGTCATGGTAAGGAATGTAAAACAGCTGCGGTGGGTTTTAACATGTCATTATATATTAGTGTGTGCTTCTGTATGTGAGTATGTGCTCACATCAGGTTAACTCTCACTGTCCTGCTGTGCTGCATGAACCAATGCTCAACTCTATACTTCATCTAGTCGGTACATATACATCTAGTACGTACCTACATGCAAGTCTGCATCTTTCTATTAATAACAAAATGACCTTAATGGTTAAAAGCTAATCGTTACTAATAGTTGTGTTGCTGGTCAGATACAGGTCAGAGACAGACAGTGTCTCTCAAGCATTCTGCAGAACAATTAGGCTACTTGTTGCTTTCTCCAGTAATCATGCACAAACACAAACTTGTTTATGCTTGATGGCCCATCAGGACTAAGTGGATGGTGATGCTAAGCAAAAGAAAGTGAGACAGAGGGAGAGTGAGAAAAATGCAAAGAATAATGAAATGGTAGAGTGGGTTGGTATAGGAGAAGGAGCTGGAGAAGGAAGAGATATAATGAAAGGTAGATTAAAATCCATACCCAAAGGCCATTTGTGGCCTACTTTCTTCATATACGTATATATTTTACAGTGTGTGTTTTAATGAGAAACATCATTTTTTCTCTCTCTCTCACATGGTTTTTGGTGGAAACATAAATATTCTGGTGTAAAGGTGTGAAATAATCAGATAGGCAGAGACTGGCAGACTGACATATTAATGCACGGGCCGACAGGTAAACACACGGATTATAGGACTTACGTGTACAGTGCTCTAACTCGATGCTGTTGCTCATATGGATGTTATCAATTTTGATGTGGCCTCTAGTTGGGTGGTCAAAGAAGCCTTCAAACACCACCTACATGAGAAAAGAAGAGAGAGGAGAGTGTGTTAGCGTCTGTCTTTAAAACACACAGTGGTTAAAATCTGAGGTGCAGCCACAAAAAAAGAACAATAATATTTAAAAAAGAGTGTTCACCTATCATTTCAGGATTATATATATATATTTGCATTAGTTTTAACTTCATACTCCACATATTTCACTGCTTATGTGCACCAAAGTTATACAAGTAGTACCATATATGCAGCAATGCTTACCTGATACTCTTTGGGGCTTTGAGGTATGATGGTACGGCCCTCCCTCCACTGGGGACCCTGGTCTCCTTTAAGCACCCACAGCAGTGTCTCCTCCTGGTCACTATCCCTCAGCAGGACCCTCAGGCTGCCCTGTGCCTCCCCCTGGAGCTGGTAGTAGAAAAGGAGGCAAAGAGGGCCTCGCTCTGGCGCCACCTCGGGGCTCAGCAGCCGGGCTCGCTTGCGTTGGGTGTGGGAGCCTGCATCCAGGTGGAGGTAGTTCCCTGAGAAATCTGGAAAAAAGGGACAGACATAAAAGTGGTGTTACATTAGTGTATTGCCAAGTGATCAGTGATATGCTGGACATGTATTTTGGACCGATGATAAATAGCCATGCTTTTTAGCACCGGAAGATAAGCATGATGCAGAATATATGGTTCTCGCTTTGTTATCTGTATTTTACTCATTTAATGGATTTAATGATTTGTGATAGTCCTGCTGCATATTCACTCCTTGCTCCTTGCCAGTGAAATGGACCCAACATACAGCATGACACAGTAATGCAGTGGGATGTGGTTGTGTAGAGTTGAAGGCATTACCACCATCATTCCGTGGTATGTGGCTTAACCACAAATGAGACAGCCATTTCATCCTGGCCTCTAATGGCTGTGGCTACAATGCACACACATGTATTGAGTACACACGCACACACGACTGCTAAACAGCCATAATCATTCTGAGTGCTGACAACTCATTCTGTTGCTCTCCCTGTTTCTGCTACTTAGTCAGCACAACCATCATACCAATACAGTCACAATGCTTGTGCATAGTTTATCTTTGTGTGCGTATATTATGTTGGCATATCCTTCCACACACTCATGTATATGTTGGCATATCCTTCCACACACTCACTCTATGCATTTTTTTGTATCTAATTCACTTCCTTTCTCTCATTTCAGCCCAAAGAATGAGTAGAAAGATGGGCAGATAGCAAAAGAGGTAAATGGAGGTCAGGGGTGAGTGAGTGAACGAGTGAGCAAACATGGCAGGTAAGAGAAAGAGAGAGTAAGTGAGAGAGAGAGAAAGACAGTACTATGGTGTTCTCCACACCCCCAGACAGGACCATAATCATTAGCCTGCTGCTGTGTTTGGCTGTTTGTCTATTATGGCCAGAGAGTAAAAGCTTCACTAGAGCTCCAAATAGTCTTTTTATCGACAAACCTACGCTGTGTGTGACACCTCACATGGAGACAAAGAGAGAAAGACGAGAGGGCAAAGAGACAAAAGAAGAGTAGAAAGCAAATATAGACAGTAGGTTATAAATCAAGAAGAATTGGCACAGAGCAAAAATACCTGCACTACCAGCCAAACTTTGCCATTGAAGTGAATAAATGTGTTCAAACGTTTAACTGGTAGTCTATCTATCTATCTATCTAATGGCATAGACCAAAAATACCTGCGCTACCAGGCAAACTTTGCCATTGAAATGAATAAATGTGTTCAAACGTTTGACTGGTAGTCTATCTATCTATCTATCTATCTATCTATCTATCTATCTATCTACTTCTTCTCCCTCCTTCAGCTAAAACAGAAAAGTTCTTTGACAGATTTCGCAGCTCATCACATTAATGAATAATGGATTTGGGTTGAGGTAACTGTTTCTTCACTTCAAGGCATTAAAAACAGGGACCTAAATTACTGTTGCTCATTAAGTAAAGTTAGAGAAAGTTGCAGTGTTTTTCTGAATCTCTACGTTTGATCTTGGTGAACATGCAAAGGGAGGGAATTAATTATCAGGTCTCCATGGGAGGGAAAGGCAGGGATGTAGAGCTGGCTTTGAGGGAACGAGATGTGTGTTGGTGTCTGTTTGCATCAGTGTCATTTCATTTGTAGGTGTCTTTGTTTATCTTTATATCTGTGCATTTGTGTGCAAAGTCATCTGTCCGTCATTGTGTGTTTATTTCGAGGTGCCTTGTGTGTAGTTAATCATTTTGCATGTGGGTAGACACAGTATTTGCATTTTCTTTCTACTGTATGTGTGTGCATCCATTCTAAGTTTGAGAATAGAGGTAAACTGCATGTGTGTGTTTTTGTTAACGTGTCAACAGTGATTTGTGCCAATCTTTACTCTTATTCACTACAAAAAAGAAAATAGGGCCTATTTGTTTCAGTGAAGTTTATCTTGAACTGAGTTGCCTTCATTGTCATGCTGAATGATATATTCTGCTTCCAAACTGTGGCTCAAAACTGTCTCCTCTGAAATCATGTCGACATAATAGATGTGCGGTCGTTTGCATACTGACCTTTCCCAGCAGTCTCAGCGCGGTGAATGACAACGTTCATGCCGGTCCATCACACTAAACCAAACGGGCAAAAGGTACTAGAGTGCATTTGAACTGGTGTGTTTATAGTCTACATCATTAATGTTAACTTTTTGAATTTAATACAGCATAAAATTTTAAAAACTGATAAATGCTTAAATGAAGCAAAACAGTGGCTTATGATTTATACCTTAATAAAACCTTATGAATCACATCAAGACAGCTTGATATTGATATATTATCAATATTGTGCCGTCTCTTTTTACCCTGCTTATTTTTCCTTTTGCCTCCTTATCAATAACTAAACCATCTCCTGCAACAATGTGTGTGAAAGGTTTCTTCTGATGATGGAGAATTTCATTCTCGACGCATCAGAAACCATAAGAAAAACTTATGAACTCAGTTTGGGTCAGATATTCTTTTTTACTGTAATACCCGAAAAAGGGCTTTCAGCGACAAGGGCTGTGGATTTGATTTGCATATGGAGACAGCTTCCAGACGGGGTGCACACTAATGTCGCTGTACAACAAGACTTAACGTCATGTTGCTGTCTAACATGGAGACAAGTGTTGCTAAGTCAATTACACACATGCAAAAACACACACTCATAAGGATGCATGCTTACACTTGCATACACGAATGTGTTTGCAGACACACACACATACTGTATACATCACACGCTTGTGCTGCAGTGTGATATAGAGCCTTGCCCTGTGTCACGGCCCTGTCTGTTTATGAACAAGCTGCTCAGTCAACCATGGATAGCTTCAATAGATAGAGAGGAAACCTTGCTGTGTGGCAAGGTCATGTGTGTATGTCTATGCACTGGAAACAAACACACACCTTGAGTGTTTAATACACGGACAGATCCACCTTGAGTAGTGTGTGTAGGTGTGTGTGTGTATGTGGGGCCTCAGGGAGAGCTGGAGAGCAAAGGCAGCACTTCTGTCAAAGGGGGCCTCGGGGAGAGCTAGAGAGCAAAGGCAGCACTTCTGTCAAAGCCATCATCTGACTTATCTGACTGCTCTGGGCGATGTGTGCATGCCTTAAGGATGCATACGTAAGTACAGTACAGAAAGAGCGTGTGTTTGTGTGTGTGTGAGAAAGAGTGAGTGAAGAGGACAAGTAAGGCAGTGAATATGTGTATGTAATGGATAAAACTGTCTTGGTTATCCTCCTGCTGTCTTATCAAAGACCGACGGATGTGGAAAAAGGCAAGTACCACCGAGGGAAACAAGAGACAGGACAGTGAGGAGGAAAAGAGGTGATCAGAGTGATGGAGTGAGAGGATGGAAGTGGAACTGACATGAAAATACATGAATCATACACTGGAGTATGAAGTGAAAAAGAGCAGATGACTGGAGGAAGGATGTAATGAAAAAGACTAACGAGGAGAGATGAAATGATGATGAGGATTCAAAACAGAAAGACATTTGTTGTTGAAATTAAAAACCTAAAATGGTTAAAAACTCAAATTAAGCTGTACAGACATTTTGCAAATGAGAATGGTGGTGGCTGCGTCATGCTGTCAGTGGTTCCTTGCAGCACCGGGATCTGTAATATTCCACCAGAGGACAACTGTTTGGCTCCTAAAAAGCTTTTTGTGCTGAACAAGGTCAAACATCCCAACATGATGATGCTTTCTTGTTTGTTTAAAAAAATACAATACTGTATGTCACCAAAAGAAAACACATGCCCAGACATATAAGAGCTGAATGTAGTTCTAATGGCCACTAAAGGTTTTCAGAACGTTTGAATGTTTGGATAGAGGAGAAGACCTGCCCAGAAATCATCTCACTGGTAAAAGATCCAAACAGTTGACAGGATAGAGACAGAGCTGGAGTTGGGATGTTTGATAGTTGTAAGGTTTTCCTGTTTAATAATAAATAAAGCAAAAAAGAAAAATAAAGGCCATGTTTCAGGTGTATGAAAATTCCTAGTATAAGTATAAAACATGGTAGTATGATGCTAATCTTATTATTTATGTTCTTAGACTCTAACAGTTGAAAGAGAACAACATTTAACAAATGGCCTTATTATAAAAGGTGTGTGCTGTATAAGGCCTGTAAGTTTAGTTTTGTATGGGGCTGCCAACAAATCAGTACTCACTGTCTGACCCCAGTGCCAGATCCTGCCTGGGTCCCTGTGTGTCCTGTCCAGCTGAACTGCTGCTGGCTGTGTGCAGGGACCAGCTCACGCCTGACTGGGGATCAGCTGACCAGCCGCACAAGCTCTGCTCAAAGTCGCATACAGCAGACAATGACGGGGTGGTGGCTGCGGGATGAGAAAGAGAGACATACAATAGATTGTGAATAAAAATATTTGATAATGGATGTGTTTTGACTTCAAGTAAATATAACAGATTATTATTTCCACATTTGTTTCCAGAACTTTGAATGTCAAATTTAAGCCTTTCCCCTCAGTTTCTTATGATTCTTTTATGACACTTGATGGCACAATAGCTGCATGGCTCCTCTTTAGGTGGCTCATGCTTTAAGAACGATCCCCACTGGGGTTTAGGTGATTTGGCAGTAATGCTCATGTAATATGACATCTCAATAGGTCCCACTGAATACAAATATACAAATAATTTGAGTGATTATGTGGAGAGAGAATGGGCTGAACAGAGGAATCAGTGAAGAGAGTAAAAGAAAGCGTGCACTGACAAAAACACAGATATAGACAGTAAGTGGACAGGAAACAAAGCAGTGCAGGCAATGGCACGTAGGGGAAAGAATGCACCTGGCGCTGTATTCAGCTGAAATCACTGCATTCACATATGCAGCAACAAAATGGATCAACAAGGACCTCCTACAACTAACTAACCTCATTGTACATAAACTGCAGTGGGGCTACTTGCCTGACAGTCGCTGACCTATAGCTGTGAAAGCATATTCCCAGTGTGTGTGTGTGTGTGTGTGTGTGAGGAGGCAATATCCTGCGGCAGTGACAGCTTATTTTCACTCAAACAGAGCTTCCTGTAGGACTCTTGACTTTAACAAACTTCAAAGCCCAGAGGCCCTGTGGTGCACGCTGACATCACGAGTTTGACCTTAAGAATGCAACTGTGCACATAAGTGTGTGTGGATGAGAAATGGAGAAAATAAATGCTTACTCACTTGCAAGAAATCTGCATGAGTGACTGTACAGAATAAGTGTTTTTGTAAGCGTGGTTGAACTAAGTGTGTGTATGTGTTTACCAGGTCTCATTGCAGCAGTTGTCTGCTCCGCTCTGGGCAGGGTGGGGGACACGATGTCAGGTACAGTGCTGGTTTCTGTCAACAAAAAGCACCAAAAGTTAGAGTAGAAAAGAATGGGATGGCATCAGAGAACAGAATAACACATATATTAGTTATATTTAGTACAGTACAAGCATCACTGATTAATCTTGCACAATTTAGTTTAATCTCCAGTGCACTCTGTCTAATAAGTAGAGAAAATACTGGGCTAACAATAATCAAATCTAAGCTCTTCATTTTTAAATAATCAGTTTGTTCTGCTTCACTGCACAGTGGAAAACGTTTTAACAGTGCGGCTGTCATGCTCGAGCAAAGCAAGATTTAGAAATGTGTACAGTAACTAATGATGTTTGTTCACTCTCCGCTGTCGCTTTCCAAGGCTGAGGTTTGTCACGATTCAAGCGGTGACAAAGTGAGCTGATGCAGTGAGCTGGTACTCGGCCGAGGACTGTGCCACCCATTTTACCTGCTGCAGCTTGGCACACAAACACAAATACACACACACAACACTATGATGATAGGTGCTACACTCAAATTGACCTTGGTGCACAGCAGCGTGCACCCAGTGTATGATAGATCAAACAGACACACACACACACAAACACATATGGACGTCAGCAGTGTGGTATGCCAGTAAATAACCTTCTTTTCTTAATAAGCAGTTTTCTCCTGTTGGTTAAGATTCCTTACAAAGCTTTACAAAGCTCTTTCTCACACACACACATCTTTGTTTTTGTTAATTACAGTACATTGTCAGGTCTTTACACTGACTTCCATTCCACTTTGGGGGAACTTACCCTAACTTTAACCCTGACCACTACTTGCCTACCTATAACCTTAACCTTACTCTAACCTTTAACCAAGTTGTCTCCCTAGAATTCAACAATTTATGTTTTGGGGACCTGCATCTGAGCCCCACAAGGACAGCAAGTCCCTACATTGTCAGTGCACTCCCATTTTTTGGGTTCCCACAAGTATAGGAAAACAAGGCCGCACATCAGTGTAAGTACATGGCACGTGGTCTAGGTGTCTATCTATATGTTGTTTTAAAGGAACAGAAGATTGTCTGGGCTGCGTGGCACAAGGCTGACACCACAAACCTGTCACCATCTTATTCTCAGAAGCTACGTCATTCTCTTATTTTTTCTGACTCATTTCAAGGTTTGTTTTTCTGTTTCTTCTTTCCTTCCTCATTCTCTGTTATTTGTCACAATAAATCTGACCAAAGCTACCAACACCACAGAAACCTCTTTCCATACACACACACACACACAAGCGAAACCCTATCTAGTGCTGTTTCTGTTTTACCACAACCAAAGATTTCTTCTCTATAACTTTCGCTCCCTCACTTTGTCGTCTCTCTCTGAGGGACATTTTGATTTGTACTCATCCTTTGCTTGCCTGCCCACAACACTTTCTTTCTCTTTGCTAAGATTGTGTGTGTCTGTCTTTTACTCTGTGCCATATTCCTACCTACCAGCTCAGTAAATCAGAGGCCACTGTTTAAATGGTTTTGGTAAATGGTCTTATACTTGTACAGTACCTTTCTATGCTTTTTACAGCACACTCAAAGCGCTTTCATACATTATTCGGCCATTCACCCATTCGCACTCCCAAGCACTCACGCATTCACACACCGGTGACATCACCGGGAGCAACTGGGGGTTCAGTGTCTTGCTCAAGGACACCTCGACATGTTGACTGCTTGTTTGGTTATTCTAGACATTTCCATGACTTGCATGGTGAACTGTGTGTGTACAGGTACTGTATGTGTGTCTCATTTAGTGTACTAGTGTGTACTTATAGCTTTTAGTTTACTGGAGCATCTAGGTTCATACAGTACATTCCTTTAATGTGTATGGTGTGTGTGTGTGACTTTCTGGAGTTGTTTACACAGTCTGCTGACAGAGAAAATATGGAGGACTGTTATGTAAGCCCAGATTGGCCTTATATCGCTGTACCTCTCACACACCCATTCACACACAAAATTAGATATTAACATTGGATAAGTAGCTCCCAGCTGTTGACATTAAGCTGTTTTAATTTGGTGCCCTTT